GTAATCGAGAAAATCATTATATGTTACGTAGTGATACGCAGAGAAAATCGGGCACATGTTCCATATAAATAAATTTTCAAGATCGCGGTAGCTGGATGTATATAATCAAAAAATTGTACAGAACTAATTGTAAGCAGAAAAAGCTCTACGAAAATGATGTTCGTAAAAAAATCGTTCAGAAACTCAAATGATTGCTTTTATACTGTATTTTGTCTAAAGTCGCGACATGCAGCAATCATGTCTTTTAAAAAGGGCTTGAGATTTGCTGAAAAGCAATGTAGCGCGAGGCTAATAAAAAATCCAAGACGGCATTTATTTGATCGGAAAATAAAATTTTTTAATCAATCAACGTCAGGTCTTTTCCTTTATTCATCTTTCATTTTATCCATATGAATCTTTGAATAAATGAAATCCTTAAATTTCTTATTTGAATCTCCCACCTGTTCTTTTCTGTGACTGCAAGCCATGTTTCAGCTGAGCAAGCTTCCAGTTCTGCCTCGAGTCTTTGTAGCTCCTAAAACAATCTTGAACAGGTTTCGCTGCCAAAAACTGAGAAATCTTAACTTCATAACGAGTTTTCCTCTCAGCCATTGCTTTTTCAGCTTTCGCTTGGCTTTCCAGCAATGCCTCTCTTAGCATTTCTCTGGCTTTACATGCATCTCTGATCTTCATCACTACTTCACTTTCTTGTTCAGCCATTTCCTTGAGAAATTTCAAAGCTTTTGCTTATTTGACAGAAATTTAGAACGATTGTTTGTATTTCTTACCGTATGGGCAGCCCATTCATTGAGATTTGTTCTTACAAGGAGTTCGCTCATCAAACTACGTACATGAGCCATTCTTGCTTGGAATTGCTGGGCAGTTTCGATTTCGTAGTCCTAAAATGGAACGTTCTAGTGCTCAGTCTTCCCAAAATTTCGTTTACCAGCGGTTTTTCCAGTTCTCGCAAAACTTCTCCACTAACATCCGGTGTTCCGGATTTCTCAATCTCAAGACGTCTTTCTAAATCTGACTCCAAAGTCTTCTTCCTAAACAACCCATTTTTTAACAGTCTCGTCTATGTATAACTCGGGTATCCCAGTAAGTTCAGTGAAAATTTTTATGGGACTTGGGCGTATAAAAAATGATAAACGCAAATGGTTAGTGTCTTTGCGCTGCCTACAATGTTTGCGCGTAAACGAAAGAACTGTATAAATTAGTAAATTAATTATGATATCCAATAAATTTTTTATGCGCAGATCAAGAGCAAATTATTGGCCAAGCATGGCGTTTTCATGAAAGGTATCTTCACCCAGGAACAGGAACATGATGTCATTAATCAAACACGCTAAACTTCAAGATAGTTACCTTCTGCGCATATGGCATAGTTTTTCTTCATTTCTTCTAGTTTCATCTACCAACTTTCGCAAACGTCTTCCTGCTAGTTCGACTC